TCAACACTATATAAAATTATTTTGGATATAAATACCAGTTGTGCAATAATCTCAGAACCTCTTATATTTGTTTGAGAAGATCCTACATGATACAATAAGCAGAAACCAAAAATAAAATTATTAAATTTGTAAGTCTCTGCTAATAAAAACAATATTTGTGTTACATTTAGTGATCTAAGAAAAAAATTTAAAGGTATCTTTCTATGCCTAGCAAAGTGAACAAGATAACCTAAGACAAAGAGCATCTATATAACCTTCAAATACCTTAAATGTCAAGACTGGCCCCAGAAGTTTAGCAGATCAGAAGAAAAGCAGAGTCAAAAAGAGATTCCAGTTAGACTATTACAAAAATTCTAATTTTTCCCAATAATGCTAAACAATTTGAAGAACATGAGTTGATTTTAAAAGTTTAACACAAAGACATTCTTTAAATATGAAAGATATTTAAGTAGAGCAGCAGTCCTTAGCCATTTTGATTCATGAAGCCGTCTGAAAATTTCCATGCATCCCCACAGAAAGTAACACCCACATTTCTAACATAATTTTAGTGGGCTTATGGCAGATTTTCAATCCTGTCTGCACATTAAAATCACCTGGAAAGTTTACAAAAAGTTCCAGTGCCTGGATCTTACTCTAAGAAAAGCTGACTTCTTTGGTTTGTGTTGGGTCCCAGGCATCAGCAATTTTTAAAACTCCCTAAGTGATCCTAATATAAAGCCAGAGATGACTTCCACTATTCAGAAACTCCCTGAAATCTCTCCACAAAACCATCTTCATTCACTCACATTCAACAATGATGTTAAACATTCACAAATATGACATCTAGCCAAGAATTTTGAAGAGTCCAAAAGAAATGTAGTCTAGATTTTTCTTTGTTTCATGGTCACTACTAATCAGCAACCTAGCAGATTACCAGTATGACTTCTATTTATAGAAAAATTCTCCAAGAGAATTAATGAATCTCACTTCCAAGCTAATGCAACCTTTCACAAAGGATGGAGCCACTGATCACTTAAACAAACATAAAGGAGTGCAAAACAAAAAGAAAAATGTTCTCAAGTTTTCCTTAATATCATTCTTTATTAGTGCATTAGAGCTCTTAGATGGGCTAAGGAAAAACAGAAAACAGGGAAGCACACACCATAAAATATCAGCATTTTCAATAAAGCTTTTGAGAGTATTGTATTCTAAAACTACCTAAAGAAATATGACTCAGGAACAAATGCTTAGTGAAAGGAAAAAGAACACAATGAGAGGAAAAATAAATAGCTAATATTCGAAAGAGAATTTATCTAATGATAAAACTGTGAGATGAGAAAGAAAACCACATTCATTTAATATTATAATAAATTGTGCAATAATCTCAGAACCTCTTATATTTGTTTGAGATCCTACATGATCCAATAAGCAGAAACCAAAAATACAGATTATTAAATTTGTCTCTGCTAATAAAAACAATGTTCATGTTAAACTTAGTAATCTAAGAAAAAAATTTATATGCCCCAACATGCTTACCTATTTAATTTGCCTCCATTTGAAGGTATGTGTATACAAACATATATAGTTACTACTTTTTTATAAATAGACTCATTCCACCAATATTGTTCTATAACTTGTTTCATAGATCTTTCCATATAAGAATATATATAAATATATCTTATTCTATTTAAAACCCATATAATATGGATAAACTGCGGCTATAGTTTGGATATACTATAATTCATTTAACCAATCACTTTTTGAAGAATACTTAGTGTTTCCAGTTTTTTACCAAAACAAAGACACTGTTTTGAGAACTTTAAAATCCTTGGCCTCTATCCAAATATCATATATATTAAAATGCGATTTCTAAGAAACCCTCATTCATATGCAAACATTAAAAAGTGAGGGATTTTAACCTGTGAATTAATCAGTGAATTGTTTGAAATATTTTTGTGTATACTGAATTTAGTAATTCATTAAGGTAATTCCTATAATACTTGTAACATAATTTTCTATTCATATTTTGGAACTAAACAAACTTTTTCAGACTGCAAATATTTCCAAAGGCCCCTGAAAAACATAAACACTGTGCTTAGAGTTCTTAATGTATAAAACCACACCAAGCACTAATAAAAAACACCAATATAAATCAATACATAGCACTTACAATAGCTAGGGACTATTCTATGTATCTACATTTATTCATGCACATCATCTTCCCAATAACACTATTAGTTGGGTGCCATTATTATTACCATTTTACATTTGAGGAAAATGGCATAAAGGGATTAAATAATCTGTCCACTTTCATAAAGGTAATAAGCCACACTGTAAGGATTCAGACCCAGGAAACATACCATGCTATGTTAGTTCATTTATCTTTGCATACTTGTAGACCAAAGTCCTAGAAGGAGAATTTGTAAGCCAAAGATATATGCAATTTGATTTGATATATATTGCCAAATTATCCTCCAAAAAGATTTTACTAATTTATATTTCTGCCAAGACTTTATAAGAGGGTTTATTTCTTCATACCCTACACAATACTGGGTATTACCAAATTATTTAATCCTTGCCAATCAGGTAGGTGAAATGGCTTTTTTTTAAAAAAAAACATATTTCTTTAATTGTCATGGAAAAATTGTTATAGAAAGTTTTATTGGTCATTTGTATTTAGTTTCTATCTTTGTTCATTCATTTCTCTTGGGCATAATATTTCAACATAATCAAAATTAACACACTAATGCTTCAGGAAAGAAAAGATATTAAACTTTAAGGTATTAATATCAGGGTAAAAATAAATTAATATTTTCCTCTTGCATTATATTAAAACACACACACATGTATTCATATGCATTATATATATATCTTGCATTATATTAAAACACACACATATGCATTATATATATATATTGCATTACATTAAAACACACACACACACAAATTCATATACACACACATTTTAATGAAATTACCCTAGATTATTTTAACACTGCCAATAGACAGAATAAATCATTCTTGAAATAAAATTCTTGAGGAAAGCCAAATCTTAAAATTCATATCCTGAATTTAGACACTATTCAATGAAACGTAAGCTAAAGTTTTACCTCAGTTAATATATAAGAAATCAAATCTATTATATTATAAAATATTTATTCTTTAATTTATTACATTTCTGTTCATTGCTTCATCATGGTAATTAAGAAAAATGACTTATAAGCATAACTAGTTTTGCTCTCATTATACGCTGAAAAGCAACAAAACAAATTCTTCTTTACTTACAAAATCTCCTGTTTTACATAAGCTAATAACATGTAGCTACTTTCAATTTTACCACATTATACTCCAATACCTGTATGCTCATTCTTTCTTGTTTATTAAAATAAATTGATAGATTTTAGCATAAACTTCTTGAAAGTATTAACCCTTGCAACCTTAAATAAGTAAATATATTTTGGTGACTAAATGAGTGCATTATTTGAGAGCAATATAATGATTTAAAAATAGGAGTAGTTAATGGCATCTTCTTTCACCAAGCAGCACAGAAATTAAGAAATGGAATCTGTCACTGTCCAAGAACTAAGAAGCTCTACCATCCATTTTGCGTGGTGTGTTCAACTCTATTTTTCAGTGCAGGATTTCTCAACCTTGGCACTGCTGACACGTCACCGTATGATTGCTTGCCGCTAGAGGCTCCCCTCTGTACTGCACTGAGTTTAGCAACACTCATCACCTCTACCCACTGATACAGAAGCACCTTCCTTCCCTCCTGAAAATCAAAAATGTCTCCAGATACTATCAACTGCTCAGTAGGGACAAAAACTGCCCAGGGTAAAGAACCACTATTTTAGTCACAGCTGACATTGCAGTAGCATATATAAAGTCAAAGTGAGCCTCCTGAGAAGAGCTTCAAAACTTGGGGAACAGCTTCAAGAATCCTGATATGGCTACTAGGAAAAACCCTGTAATGCACTCCCACGTCTCCATTCCTCTCTTCAGTATTCAAGCCACCGTAGTATTAAACCTTCATCTTGTAAAGGTGATTCAACAAGCATTTGTTAGTTTCTTCAATCCCATCTGGCCAACATTAAAGACATTAAAACCCCTTTCCAAGAGCTAGTCCCAGGATCCTACCACTCAAGTTAATTATCTGTAACCCTATAATGTTACTGAACAATAGAAAAGAGATTGTTTAATGATATTAGATGGGGACATTTGGCTCAGTCTTTTAAAGTAAAGCTCCAACAGGTTAATTGATATAACATGTCTAATACTGCAAAGAAAATGAGTGCATAATCATTTCTAACTATTGTTCTGACACAGAGACAAGTACATACAGTGCTTATCAATAAGTGTTTGTTTTTGTTTTTCCTGAAAAAAATCAAGATAGGTTAAATATTTAAAAGTAGAATTCTTGAATTATGTTTTCTAAATTTAAAAATATACTTTTAATAGCCTTTATATTTGAAAAGGACGAAAACGCACATTGAGATTTCTCAAAACTCGTTTAAAATTTTATGCAGTGATAATAACAAAGTGAAGAAGGAATTGATTTAGTAGCCTATACCAGAAGATATCCCTGCTTAAAGAGAACTCAATTGAAAGTTAAAACTTTGTATTAAATGCTTTTGACATCTGAGTCTCTTCTTATCTCTAACACTAAATGTTTTCATTTCCCAATGTTTCTCTCAACAAGTTTTGAGGATGAAATGAGATTTTTTAAAAATTAAGTTTTGAAAAGAACAAAGCATTATTCCAATATAAGATAATAGCATTGACTGGATAAATGACTATAACATCACACAGAATTTTGATTTTCAGAATCACCAAAATTAGTGATGATAATGAGTAAAGTTAACATATTTATCAAAACATTTATTCTGACAAAATAATAATCAGTTCATTTTTAATTAACTTTTCATTACTTGCAAAAACTAAAAATTAGAATTTTAAATCAGATAAAGTATAACTATAACTAATAACAATAATTCAACCATTCAGATTTTCTAAATACTCACATTACTTGCAAACTTTCTGCTGTTAAATTATTCCACATAATCTCATTTGCCTGAAGATTTTCATTTTCTTCTAGTAAGGAAGTATCAAATTCAATTTCTTGCTCTTTAGCAGCTGTTGTTCTAATAAAGCATATAGAATAATTTTGATCGATATGAATTTACTATCATAATATACCTAAATATACACCAGACAGAATATTTGTTCTTATCCAAAATTATATTAACAAAGTAGAGTAAACACAAATAGAATAAATCAAATTAAACCCCAGGCCTCATGTAATTTTAGCCTGAGTTTCCTCATTTGTAGAATACGGATATTAACCTGTTTACAGATATTATTCCTGTCACAATTATAATGTATATAAATATAAATATAATGTATATAACAATAAAATGCATGCATGGAAAAGTAACTGGCGTATCATAAAGTTTAAGATATATAAAGTCTATAGTATTATTATATAAACATTAAAAAGAAAATATAATTTCATGGGTTACATATGGGTTTAAGCATACAGTAACAACTGGAAAAGTTTTAAAGATTATATAGGCTAGTTATCACCATTGAGAAAGGACTTTGAAAATAATCAATAGCAAACAAATTAATCTGAAATATCCTGTGTTCTAATATTTATTTTAATTTGGTTAAATATTAGATTAGAAAAATGAAATACTGTCATAAGTACTGAAAAAGGAAAGAATATGTCATACATACCTATGAACATCTATGAAATTATTATATTCTGTGCTAGGGTCTATCTGTTCAACTGACATTTGAATCTCTTTATGGACATTCACTATTTCTTCTGTAACAAGACTGGTTATCTGGCTATATTCATCAAATATACCTTTTCTGAAAAAAATAAAATTTTACAACATTTCAAAGTTTATCAATCTCAAAAAGGATTCATAACAATAAACATAAGATATGTAATATCACTATCAAAATGTGGGCTTGTACACCACCTTAGTTCATACACCTGGACAGTAAAGTGAAGGAATTATACAAAACACAGATTAACAGCTTACATTTGATATGATAACTGTAAATGATCTGGAATAAGACATTACCTTTTCCAACATATATTTGCCATGTCCAAAATGTAAGGTCAGGGTTGATTACTTTCTATTTCTAAACACTATCTCAGAAATGTTGGATTCTGTAACATGGAACTGTGGATCAATTCCTGTCTCTTTAATGTTTTATTCCAGTGTGTGCCATTTCCTCACATGCCCTCCCTCTTGATCCTTCTGTCACTCCCAGGCCTCTACTCTTTTCTGTATATATTATTGGAGAGTTTTATACCTTCAAGAACACCTCTCTTCTGCTGACCTCCACTCAACCGCAAAAATGTCATGAAACTTATGAGCCTTATGTAACAAATGCAAATGGAAAAACGATTCTGTTGCAAAGACCCAATCCGCAACTTAAGAATGCTATGCTGTAAAAATACGCCATTGGTCCATTAGCAGCCTCAACAAGTGTAGACAAACAAGCTTATCTTAATATGCCCAAATAGATGTAAGGCATTGTTTGTTTTTATTTTCTAAAATTATCACTCATAGAAAAAGTAATCCTTACAAAATTGTTCCTTATTTAGTATTCTCCCCTTACCTTATTTTAAATAAAAAAATACAGTTTGGCAAAAAAAAAAAAAAAAGATTTAAACTGCTTCAGGCAGTGCTAGTTTGTAATAATTACAGAAATCACCTGAAAAAATTTAAAGAAAATGGAGAGGAAGAGAAATTTAATTGAGATTTAGTAAATATCCCTAGGGTTATGATCTCATAATTGAGAGTACTGAATGATATTAATGTAAATGAGCCTCTCTAGATAGCTCTCATAAAGCAATACAGTAAGTGATCATGATGTGGAGACCACTAATACTCATCTTTAAAGACAAATGGGAAGAAATGAAGAAGTCTTCTAATGTTATATGAAAGAGTACTTATAACATGGGTTCATCATGCTTGGGTTTTCTTAATGCTAGATCTAAAATAATTTGTTACAAAGTAAAGATTCTATGCTGTGGGGAACTATTATACATCTCAAAAAGATGTTTTAATGACAATGAAATATTATTATTGAAGATTCATGTGAAGAATTTGAAAAAATATTGATTCATGAAATCAGAGTAGGAAAGGAAGTATTTCTGAATCAACAGTATGTAATTTAAAGGAGACATAATTAAATATTTTAAGTAGATAGTTCACTATTTTACCAACACTTAAAAGTTTATATCTTCAAGTTGACCAAAAACACTTTTTTTATCTTCTTACTGGAAAGATGGGGTATCACCTGAACCAGTTAGTAAGGAGATGACGTCTACCAAAGGGTGGCTTATCTTTTTCTGTCATACTGATTTGTATGGTAAATTGACTTACTTACCAAAGTATACTGTTAATTTCTTGAAGGCAAAAATGGTGACCTACTCTTCTCTATGTCCCCAAGTACCTGATGGTGTGGTTGCATACAGGAGAACTTCAATAAACATCTGTTGACTTTAATTTCATACAGTAAGAAGCTGGTAAATAAATTTTCAAAAAATTCTCTCCTTTGGGCTTCTCAGTTGCTCAAGGTTTAAACATTCAACCCTCTGGAGACAGATATTCACTTCTTAACACTTGTCAACTAATGAATTTTTTCTTTTCACCTAAATTTTCAGCTGAATGATGTAGAGCAAAAACATACAAAAAGACGGGCCATTCTTGGGGCTACCTAGGTTTAGGAGATGAGCATAAAATGAAGGGACACCAAAAGTGAAAATCAAGGAAGATCGAAGTACAGCAGGTCTGAAATACCCACTGGGCTGGGTCAATAATGAAGTTTACAAAACCTAGACCACCTTTACACATAAGCTTTACTAGGAAAGAAAATAATATTAAAATCATTTTATGAACAAATTTTCTGTCAAATAGGAAATGTATCTTACAGTGCTTTTATCATTTCTTCTTGCATCCTTTGTAAGGAATCCAGAAGCAGAGGAAGTGTAGTGTCATAATACTGATTCTGGTGAAGCTGTGCCCCTTTCAATGCCAATACATACTGATTATGCAACATATGAAGTTTCATTGTGGCTTTGTCATAACGTTCCTTAGCTTTTTCAGTTTCTTTCCCTGAAGAAAACATTGAAGAAAGTTATCAAAGAGATAATAAAAAAGTTTTATCTTCACTATGTGCAAACTGGATGACTACTATCTTATGTTACTTAATATATTTTATTAATAATCAACAAAAGTTGGTTGAACACACACTATGTGCTCAGATCTATGCAAAGTACTATTTATTCTCCAGTATTTTGCACACAGGCTGCTATTCTATGAAAGAGGAATGCATTGCAGTAAATGTTTGGTGAATGAAAATTAATCTACATTATTTTGTACAATATGATTCTTCACATCTTTAAGGGGTTTACACCAAATTGGAACAACAGGGCACATGAAACTTAAAATCAAAAAAACAAGACAATTTATAAATACTGCCACTTTTTGAGGTCTGTGATAACAGTAAAGACAAGGGAAGGTATTCAGAGGAGGCTTCGTGAAGAAAACAAACCTTAAAAGATGGGTCAGGTCTGTATAGGTAGGGTGGTTTTGGACTGTGAATGACTTGAAAATCAGAGAAATTCAGACTTGATGTGGGAAAAGTTGAGATAATGATAATATTAAGAACTAAAACTTTTTGTGATTGCTTTATTAAAATCATGCAGAAAATATTTACAAGGTAATATTCAGAAATAATCAGAAAAGATTGACAAGGTAAATGAATAACTCTATAAATAAATGAACATTTTAAGCAGTCCTTCCATTTTTGATGCAAACTAAAAAAATATTTCTTGTAAATTATTTAGATTTAGGGAATAAGCTTTTCAAAATATTTATTAATTTTGTTCCCTTTCCAGAGAGAGTTCTACAAATAAATCCTCTCCCAAAAGTAGATCTTATGTTGAGAATCTTGGACACCAGAGGATATCCTCTGCTGCCACTCTGGTTTGGTTCACACCCTTATGAGTATCTTTTTCTACAGTCAGAAAAGCATTCCCTATCAGAGAATATCTTTCAGCTCAGGGACAAATGCAGAGAAAAAGTCAGGGCTTTTGAGCAGAGAGAAAAACTCAGACCATCCGACCGTGCCATACAGAGCAATAGAATGAAAATGATTCCCTTTCCTTCCTCCTCACCTCTAATTCTGAGGCACAGGAACTACATCTAGCTGGTAGAAAAGGGAACCTTCTCAGAGCACTGCTATGTCCTCACTACCTACAAATCCTAGTGTTTTCAAGTTCTACAACCACCACTGACTTCTCCTAGGGAGATGAACATAATTATTATATAGAGCATAATCCTCTAGCTATAGACCGTTAGGTGGTTCCTGCACTTGCTTGGGGTTATTAATAATTGTCCCAGTTATTCACAAATCTTTGTCCTAGATAACCTATTTCACTTTATAACATGAAGAACTTCTCAATTAGAAAGTAATTTTATAACCAGAGTATCTTTCCTAACCACTCTCACTGCTGACCAGACACAGGGTCTAACACTAGAATGGGAGGTTAGGAACAAATTAAGTAATTCAGTTCTGATCTAAAGAGATCAAAAAAAAAAAAAAAACATTAGCCACTAAAGAAGTGGGTTTTCTCACATTTTGACTACCACCCACAGAATAATATATTTTATGTCATGAACCAGTAAATAATAATAACAACTTTAAAATATATAACTGAAATAAGAAATTCATGAAATAATGCTTCCCTTTAGATGCCCTGTGATTTTTTAAAAATTCTATTATATTTAAATTTTGAATTGTTTTAAATGTGCATTAAGAAAACAATTTTTTATGTCAGTTAATAAATATCCTTAGAGAAGGTCTAACTTATTCTCTATGGCTCTAGGGATAATTGTATTAACTTAGCAACTAATAAATCAGTTCAATAATACTCATCACAGTTGATTTTTAACATTTTCAGGTAAAACATCATATTACACGTTCAGTTACTATAGTAGTTTTTTCATAGAATACTATATCTATAAACACTGCTTTTTAGTAGCCTTCCTGCAGAAATATGACAACTCCTTTTTCTCACTACACACACAACTCAGGATTAGGCTCCTACATGAAGCCGACATCAGATCCGAAGTGCACATCAGACCAAATCCGATCTTTGGGCTAGAAGCTAAGTCATATAAATCCCTGAATGAGAATGAAAACCCCCAATCCCCTGCTGCTGACGCTGCCAGAGCAATCCCTTCTTAGGCCCTTTTCTTTGGTTCTTTGTTTTTAGGTTTTGGGGTTTCTTTTTTTTTGATTCACCACTTTACGCTCTAAGTTTAAAAATTAAGTTTTTAAAAAAGGTTTTGTTTTGTTTTTAATGTAATGAGACTGTGTTTAATGTACACCAAATTCAGTGAAGAGAAGGTTGCGAGGGCTCAGAGAAAGGTGGCAGTAAGGGCTGCAGTGGTGGGTGGAGTGGGAGTGGGGGGCGTAGAGGGCAGATGAGCATGACACCACCTCCCAGAACCTCTCTCTTCACTAAGGACTCACATTGTTTAAGTTTAAGTTTGTTACTTGAAATTCAACAAATTCTTACAACAGAGAATTCAAAAGGTCATGTACAACTATATAGATAAATTGATTCCAAGTAACAAAGACGTTTTATAGAGTCTACATTTTCATAAGAAGAAAATAAGGCAAGCATTTACCAGGCAAGAATATTAGAGTACTGTGTTCTAATTTGCTAATTTTTATTGTGAATTCAGAAAGTGCAACTAGTGAATTCAATTAATTCCATATTTTATGTCACTTTTTAAAAAAATATTAGTTTTTATATGAACTCTATTATTCTTAATTAACTACTTGGATTTTTTAGTATAACTTCAGGAGTCAAGCTCTCCACACAAAAATTTTCCTGGAGACATTTAAACCATTTAAACTACCCATCTGTCCTCCTATTCCACAGATTTTTAAACTGCACACTACCCATCTGTCTTTCTAGCTGTGCAGAAAAATTCACTAAACATGTAACACGCAGCTCACTAAGATTTTATAATCCAAAATAACATGAGAAAAGAATTTCCCAGATATTTTTTTCTTTATCAGTCTAGTATGACAAACAAGCTGCAGAAGACTATTATAGCTAAAATCAAATTATTAACAGCTTATTGGTGGTCATTAACACAACTTAGAAAAAAAATTTAAAAAATGCCTTTGAAAACATCCAGGCAAAATCCATTACATTAAAATAATAATAACAAATTTTTAAAAACAGCATTGGGTTTAAAACTGAATTTAAGGGTAAGTTTTAGCAGGGGTTTTTTTTTGGTTTGTTTTTTGTACTCTACAGCTCATATACACTTGTGCATTTGATTTTAAGGTGTACACGTGCATATACATGATCAATCAAATGATCCATATATTTCCCTCCCTCCCTCCCATGTAGATATGAACAAAAAATTTCAAAACACTTTCCATTACTTGGAAAGGGATTCTTTTGTATTATTTCCTGTTCTGCTTTAAAATAAATATCAAGGTCCTATAGAGACTATATAAGTAAATTCAAGGTACAGTAATACCATGTGGAAACCAAGGTTACAAATTAAATTTTTTAAATTCCGTTCACTTAACAAAATATATTTAAAAAACTACCTATCATGATTCTTGCCACATAGCTTTTTGGTGCAGAATATCTCAGATCACTATTATATTTCTTAACTTGTAAATAACTATGTTTGAGCTTAAAATTAATGTGAAGTAAACAGAGTGAATAAATTCTTATTGACAGACACCAAATTATACCTCTGTTGCTGTACGTTTTTTTTTTTTTTATGACGTGAGGGATTGAAGCAGGGAGTAAAATTGTTCTACATGTCAATTAACAGGGAGGAAAACATCCAATTTTTCCTTCTCCAAGTAATGAAATTCACAAAGAGATTGAATTATAATTATTTTGCCACCACTTGTTGACAAATCTGTTTAATGTTTGTAATAACAGAGTGTGTATACAACATGTCATGCCATAAACAATATTATGAAGCTAGCAAAACTCAATTATGTACATATGACATTTACATGAGACAGGCTATACTACTCATTAAGCTAATCTAGAAAGTCAAGTATTTCTGATTATAAACTTCTGAAGTATTTGTCATTAAAATGATATACAGTGGAAACCCTCCTGATAATAAATAAGAAGTGATTATTTTCTAAAAGTAAAGTACCTACAAGTAGACACTGCTTTGGTTTGGATAATTAAACATTCTACCATCTTACATTTTTCTTTCTTTCAAAACATTCCTCCACAACTATACAATTTTTACTAATTACTCTGAGCAAGGAGAAATGAATAGAAATTCCTCTTAACTTACAAGTTACTTGAGCCAAATGGTCAAAAATGCTTTTTCAAGTATGATAAGTGGGAACAATGAATGAGCTACCTATTTTACTCAGTATTGTTGGCAATAACAATGTTAAGAAGTTTTTGTCTTGGCTTCTCCATTGAGTATTGCATAACCCAAGCAAGTCATTTAATCTAAATTTTAGCTACTAATTTTTAATCATGGAAGCTTATATGCCCCTCTCAGTTCATTGGGTTGTGATGGATATAAAATGGCTGAAAACTGTTGAAATGCAAGTTAACAGCAAAGACTAAAGAAGAGAGAATTTGAGAGCTGTAAATAACCTTCTTGATCATATAGTCCTAAAGAGGATTAAAAATATAGTATTTTATCTGTACTATGCTACTTTTAATAAATTTCCTAGTACAAGAAATTTGATATATCAATCAAGAAATATTTACTGGATATATATTACATGTTCTAAACTGTTCAACTAAAACTCATGATTTTTTATTTAAAAGTTCAGCATAAAATACTTTAAATAGCAAGCTCTCTAACTGTATATGATATCATTTCCTTGCATATACTGATTACTAGATTCGGTTGACCCACATTCTTTTAATGCCATATAACTTGAATGACATATCATGTTAAGATGTATATTCCATAATTTAATAAAACTATGATTCTGGGTAGGTGGGACAGGGCAGCAGCCATAATTCTAAATCTCCCATATGTAGTCAAAGATGTTAATAAAGAACATAAGGAAAAACAAATAAAACCCT